GGGGCTAGCCGTGGCTGGCTCTCCGCCTCTGCCTCCTCGTTGTCATCTCCTCATCCTCAACTATGCAATCTTCATCAGCTGCGATCATATCTGCTCAAAGTCTCGACCTGGCGATTGAAAACTAGACCGTAACATCGGTAATTTCGAGCAATTAGCAATTACCATGATTTTAATTTTCTGATTAATTATTGCATTTTAAATGATCGATTCGATTGATTATGGAATTAATCAATTATCGAAAGTAATGTGAATGTATTTTCTTTTTGCTTAAAACATGAAGACATTTATTTCCTTAATCCTTGCCACGCCTTCTAAAAATAGTAAGTACGATTCAGGTGCTAAATAGCATAAGAAGAAATTAACAATGACCAGATACAAATATAATCGACAATTTCATTTTAGAAAGATTTCATTTTGAAAATAATGTTCGCGATAATATTAATTATGAAGATATAATTGAAGATTTCATTTTAAGAAACACTAGAGTATTAGACTAGACGAATGATGATTTTCAGCAAAACATCGGATTAGTACTACTTGACTATTTTAATATTAATATTTGATGTATTTACAAATATTGTATGAAATAACATATTATATAGTTGATTGTAATTATGCCCTTATTTATATTAGATATGATTTTTTTTCAAAAAAACATAGGGCTCCATTTGTTTATCGTTCAGGGGCCCCAAATGTTTAGAGATAGCCCTGCCGCTGAAGGAGGCAAAATCAGCCACCTTGATGCATGGTTCAGAAGCCTTTATATCTTATTTCGTGGTTTAGGGTGTGAATAAGACTCAGATAACATTTGAGAGTGGCAAAATGGAATTTTTTTTTGTGAGGCATGTTAGTGTAGTGTTTCACCGATACTAGCAAGGACATTTAAAGTTTTAGCATTGATGACACATATTAGGAAGGAGATGTTCAGGTCCTGTTTGGGGGAGCCTAAGATTCTTAGAATCTATTAGTTGGTAGCCAGCTTCTGAGAATCTGTTTTTCAGCTTCTGGGTTTTAGTTCATTTTCTGAATTCCATCGTTGAAGACTCACAAGGCCCAGCGGAGACCCGTGTCTCGTGAAACGCTCGCGACTTAGCGATCTTGCGCGTGCGCGCTAATTAGCGATCTCGGTGGCCGCCAGCTGGGGACGAGTCAAGGAGGCACCCAGCGGCCCGACGAGGTGGTTAGGGTGGAACTCTTTTTGTTATTGGAAGTTTTGTATATCTCTTATAGATGATTCTATTTACACCTTAAAATCTTGTTAGGTTTTAAAAATTGTAATTTTGGGATGGATTTTTAGACATTCGTCGGTGATGCTTTTAGTTGAGATGTTTCTTTCGATGCTTAGTTGGTTGAGATGTTTGGAAAACAAAGTCAAAATCAAGTTGGTGATATGCTGAGTTAGTTGAGCTTAAAAACAAAGTCAAAACAGTAAGCATGATTCGTGTTTTATATTTTTAAGCTCAGATTATTCAGGTGGAAAATTTACTACTCTCTATGATTAATAAACTGCTATTTATATACTCACTAAGATAAGATAGTTGTAAACAAATCACAATATCATAAACATGCATGTGCAGAAGTTATACTTATGAGCTCATCATTGACATACACATTTACTAGAATTATTTATTTTTTCAAGTGCAACAATCAGCCTGGCTGGGCCTACCATGTTGTTGTTTAATTATCACACTTACATTAGTCTTTTTATTTTAGAAAAAAATCAGTAGTCCTGGGTTACATAAATACACCGTCAGAGTTGTATAGGAAGAAAAACAGATAGGCATTACAGCCGGCCATTGGTCGTTCCAAACTAACCACCAAAAAGGTTGCAATTTGCAAATTTATATGTAGCGACACTGATGGGTCTAACCAAGTTCATCCACACCCCCGGCATGAGCAGGTTCAATCAGATGTGTATCAAGCCGTGTAGCTCAACTACGTACTTGTCAAAACAATCTGTTTTTGTTCTGAACACGTCTAATTTTTATAGCATTTTTCAACACGAAAATAACTTGCTTTTCGACAAGGAGGTGCAAGAGATGTACCCTTTGATAGTAAAGGAGAGGATACCAGTAAGGAAGTGAACATAGCTCAATTATCGTGTCTATTCCATCAGTTGTATAAATGGAATATTTCTCTCATCAGTCTTGTGATTTTGTTTGTTGATTTCTATGTGATTTTGTGCCATAAATACCCCATTTTACTGAAAACTAAAAATACGTACCCTTTCTTAACCACAGTACTATTTATTTGTTTCTTAGTATATGGGTTTGATATGCGTGTCCTGGTAGTCACACTTCCTTTTTCTGTGCTCCTCAATTGCTTGCAATCATTATCATAGGATAAACCACCTAATTAATCTCATTTCACTATCACGTAGGACAGTTCAATCTAGTGTACGGATGGGAGCTCAGAAAGACGTGCCACCAAGATCTGTAGCTGGAGAGCTCAAAGCCACTAGAACACGGATACCATCATCTCAATCGGGCGGCAACCCCCATCTCAATCGGGCACAGCGTCTGTCACAGGCTAGAAGTCACTGATGTGAAAAATTATCTCAATCGGGCAAATGGCCGTCACGAATAAACCTATCTCAATCGGGCCCTAATTAAAGCCCGTCACCAATAGCTTTGACCCAGACGACATGTCAAACTATAGCCCGTCACGGATGACATATCTCAATCGGGCCTAAACTATAGCCCGTCACAGATGACTCTTATCTGTGATGGGCATTAACTATAGCCCGTCACAGTGAGTCATCTCAATCGGGCCTAAGTTAATGCCCGTCACAGATAAGTCATCTCAATCGGGCCTAAGTTAATGCCCGTCACAGATGAGTATAATCCGAAAAAAAAATAAATTTTATTTTTGCTATCTCAATCAGGCATAAACTATAGCCCGTCACAGATGACCCTTATCTGTAACGGGCATTAACTATAGCCCGTCACGGATGAGTCATTTCAATCGGGCCTAAGTTAATGCCCATCACAGATGAGTCATCTCAATCGGGCCTAAGTTAATGCCCGTCACATATGAGTATAATCCCAAAAAAAATAAATTTTATTTTTGCTATCTCAATCGGGCCTAAACTATAGCCCGTCAAAGATGGGCATTAACTATAGCCCGTCACAGATGAGTCATCTCAATCGGGCCTAAGTTAATTCCTGTCACAGATGAGTATAATCCCCAAAAAAAATAAATTTTATTTTTGGCTAAGCTTTGCCATGCCGTCCCACCTTTCTCAGGCCAACCTTTTCTTTGTCCTTACTCGTGTGCACCCAGGAAGTTCACTTCAGGCCAAGCACGCTTAATATCAAAGTTCTTTGGAGATCGGCTTCCGAAAGAGTAGTTGTAGCTTGTTGGTATGTGTATTCAATTAATCCTATTAAGCCTTAGGCAGGGATATGTCACACCCCAACATCCCCCATTCATATACATTCATTCACATACACAACCATCAAAAATCATAAACAACAAATTTGTATAACTCATCGAGATCTACAACTATTGTATCGATCCTTTCTACAAATAAGTTCATTTGAACAATTCAAATTTTGAATTTTCAAAATTTGACAACTTGGAAGAAAAATTAGGGTTAATAAATGATTTCAAATGGAAAAGTCACCGAAACCAAAGTTGTAGAGCTTATCGAGGTGCAAAATTTTTATTTTGGTCATTTCTCCATCTGACTCTATTTAAACTATTTGAAATTTGAAATTCAATGTTTGAGAAATTCAAATAGAATTTTTTGTTAGTGGACGACTTCAACTAAAAAAGTCATCAACAACAAAGTTGAATAACTCATCAAGATCTATAACTTTTATTTTGGTCATTTTTCTATATAACATTGTTTGAACCGTTTGAATTTGAATTTGAAAATATGACAACTTCAAACAACATTTTCAAATACTAAATGATTTCAACTGAAAAAGTTATCAACAACAAAGTTGAATAACTCATCAAGATCTATGCTTCTGTGCTTGACCTGGAAACAGTGGCTAGTTTTTGTGCACTCCATGAAACAAGATTAGGCCTCATAAAAACAACAAAGCCACCAGTAGAACGCTTGTCATCCAAGCAACATGCCCAGTCTGCATCGGAGAAAACACTAACAAGTAGAGAGACTTGTTAATTTTTAAACCAAGTTTTGTGGTGTGCTTGAGATATCTCAAGATTTTTTTTTTGACTACTGCCCAATGATCTGTTGTTGGAGCATGAAGATACTGACAAATTTTATTAACTAAAATGATATATCTGGTATGGTTAAAGTTAAGTACTACAAGGTCCAACAATACTCTGGTAGTATGTACTATCATTTGGTGCAAGAGGAATCCCTCCTTAGTGTTGACTGGTTTACAGTCACTCATTCCTACTCCTCTCAACATATATGAAGGATATTTTTCTTGTGTCAAGATTATACCACACATACCTTGTTTACTTCAATGCCAAGGAAGAAGTGGAGGTCTCCCAGATCCTTTAGTGCAAACTTTTGACAATTCCTTTTAGAAGGATAGTAGTTCCATTTGCAGATGAATTAGTCACAATAATATCATCCTGTTGACTTGAAATCTGGCGCCACGACACACAAAGGTCTGGGAGGTCTGCTTAACTCCATTGCAGGTCCTAAATCTTGATTGGATGCAATCTGGCGCCTCGACACACAAAGGCCTAGAAGGTCTGCTTAACTCCAGTGCAGGTCCTAAATCTTGATTGGATGCTTAGTGACAAATACTTTGCACCGAGTATTGGAGGTTTCTAGGATGGTTCTTTCTAGGATGATTCCTAGTCAGTTGCCTGTGGTGAACTTATATTTTATATTTTGCAACTCTAATTCTGCTGTGATTAAACTCTTCTATTTGGTTGATCGCCCTATCTATGTTGTATAACTTGTGTACTCGGTAAGACTATGTGAACCATGCTATCTATGTATGTGTGTATTATGTGTGGATGTGATGATAAGGTTATGGATACGTGTAGTAGCCACTGATCAGGGGACTAGTTCTCGTAATTTAGCAGGTGCGAGTACATCTCTACCACCATGATCGGATCGACCCTGGCGAGAAGTGCCCCGACAACAGGACCGAAGTCTGCATTAATTCCATTAATAATATAAGCAATAAGATCATCTTTATCAATTGGCTTGCCTATAGCCAAGAGTTCATTGCCGATTCATCCACATCTTGGCAACGTACTCGGTGACCGACATTGCTCCCTTCTGGACTGAGGCGAGCACCAGCCGCAAGTTGATGAGGCCGGTTTTGGACTTCATTGTGAACATGTTGGTGATGGTTTGCCATGCCTTGGATGCCATCGTTGAACCAGCCACACAGGACAGAATCTTGTGCAACAGCTAAGAGTACAGAAAACCAAGGACTTGTTGATCCATGGCAAACCATTCCTCCGTCACCTGGTTTAATGCGTTAAGTTGGCCATATTGTCGCCTCCCTAACTCCCTTCTTCTCTATATCAGTAGACGATGGCATTAATTGCCACCTTGTCGCCCTTCCAGCTGTGTGCCCCTCATGGCCGTGAGAACTTGTGCTGACCAGAGTGTGTGGTTTTGTTTGATAAGTTTCTCTGGAACCTGAACAAACAGAGAATTGGAGGTGGCTGTGGAGGAAGATGAGCTCACAATCCTAAATCTAAGCTGAAAGCTCTGATACCATGTAAAATGCCAGAGGCGCTAGGCATGGAACACTTATGGTGAGGTGGTTTCGTGTTGACAATACTTGACCAATCAGCCAAACAAATACAGAAAGCTATATATGGTTTTTTTTTTAATTTAAGAAGCTATATATGGTTGACCACAGAACTCATCCTAATACAAAGGGATAAAGACAGGGGCGGAGCTAGCATATAAGTAGTGGTGTCACAGGACACCAATGACCTCCATATTAGTCTAGGTACTCTTCTAATTTTTCAATGGATGACGCCAGTAAAACTTGCTTTGTGACACCAGCGTGTGAATGAATTCTCACTTTCTTTAGACTAGTTAGCTTATGTGGATGTAGACAACTGGACAACTCAACAAATTAACTGCTAACAAACTATAATTTATAGCTATTTGACCATGCACAACAGCTAATTCAACAAGACTATGCACATCAGCTAAATAAAGTTCATGTATCATAAGTTTTCTTGAGTGATTAGGTGAAACATAAGCTAAGCAACCACTATCGTGAGGGATTTCTTGTATTTTTTATATGTACTATTGTTTAATTTAAACCGTGATCGTCAATTAGAGTTCACGAATGATACCATCAACCTAAAATCCTGGCTCCGCCCCTGGATAAAGATTATATTCTATCTAGAACCAGCAACCTTGAACACAATATAAGGTCACAACATTTCATGAGATATCTAACACTCTTTTGGTTGGATTTGTGTGTTCTTTTTTTGATTGTCGGTTCTGTAGTAATGCATGTCAATAGAAATCGTATGTGGCGTAGTAGTTTTTTTTTTTTACCAGGAGGCGTAGTAGTTTATTGCCATAGACACACTGGCACACAGGCCCGGGGGGGGGGGGGGGGGTGATATGAAGCCTTTTTTTTTCCTTTTGACGTCCTGGATACACTGCCGGTTTAGAATCGACCCATGCATCATAGTGGTTCACTTGTCACATCCGAGTTTCAACGCTACATATTTGAAGTGAAATCCCTAGATTATCGTAAGAACGCAAGCCCTTCAAGATGACAAAAGAAATTCAGCTTTGGCCAACCTCTCCAACTGTTTCTTCCAATAAGGACGACACACGACCATTCAGATGCTACTGAACACCAAACATATTCTCCCTTTAATAAATAGTGGATTATGAGGTGCTTGTTCAATGGCTATAATCTAAAGAGTTCTGTTCAAGTTTATAAACAAAAAGTAAGAAAAACAGTATACACTTTATGGCATCTATCCATTTCTCACTTATTATTTTCAATCCTTTCCATTGATCGATATAATATCTGATCTTCCATCATCAATTGATCCAATTGCTAATTTTGGATTGTTAAAGATCTGATCTTCCATCATCTTCCATCATCAAGTAATATATGATCTTCCATCATCTTCCATCATCAGTATATAAGAGCAATTTTACGGTCCTTGAGAAGGTACCATGAGGTACCACTTAGAGAGTTTCTTTTGTGCTTGGAATCAATTAGAACCCTTGATCTCCTTTTTTCTATTGTAAATTTGGTACCTAGATACTATGAGGTACTATGAGGTATTAAATTTTACACTAAATTTTTGATACCTCATGGTACCTCCTCAAGTACCGTAGAATTGCTCATATAAGAAAACTGAATGCCCATAAAAATTTACAATTTGCAAATATTATACTATTTATCCCGTTGACATACTAACATGTGACATCATCGATCTGTAACAGCTATAAATCGTACTTGATGGTATCCATAAAATCACACCATAAATTCCAGCAAACTCTCTCAATTCTCTCTCCAAAGTCCAAACCATGGCTCCTGCTCATTTGACTTCGGGAAGCCATGGCCGCCTGCCTCACGTAGCTATCTTCCCGTTCATGGCGAAAGGCCACACCATCCCGCTCATCCAGCTCGCCAACTACCTGCGTCACCACCGGCTCGCCACCGTAACCTTCTTCACCACCCCGGGCAACGCCGCGTTCGTCCGTGGTGGGCTGTCGTCCGGCGACGACGACGACGACGTAGCCGCCGTCGTCGAGCTGGACTTCCCCGTCGACGCGCCGGGCATCCCTGTCAGGTTTCCCTAAGTGATCGACAAACAAGCTGTGGAAAACACACGCGAACATGAGGAAACACGCTGAGTTTTGTGGTGCGATGAAGCTGCACCTTTTCGGTTTTTTTCTTCTCCTTTTATTATGCAAATAACAGACTTAGGATTCGATCCCACGTCCCGGTTCTTTCGCGTCCATCCCCGCGATCCGAGAGACGCGTTCACGTCCCGTTGTCCAGGCCAGTCGCGAGTTAATCTCGTTGACAGCCACTACGTGCACGGCATCCACAACCCGGAGCTCGCGCATGCAACAACAGAAAAACTAACATGCATGCAGCAACAGAAAGGAACGTAAAACTAGCTACTACTAGATACATCGTGTAAGGTTTATTTCCAACAAATCTCCCCCTAAACCTTGCACGTCCCTTTAACTTCGACGAGGCCAATCCTTGTGCACAGTTCATTGAACCGATCACGCCCAAGTGACTTCGTCAGAATGTCCGCTAGTTGATCATTTGTACTGACGAACTCGATCTTCACCCTGTCCTCCTCAATGCATTCTCTGATGTAGTGATATCTGGTCTCTATATGCTTGCTGCGATCGTGGAAAACAGGGTTTTTGCTGAGTTGAATTGCCGACTGATTGTCGACATTGAGTGTGACGACGTCGGCTTCTTCTCCCTTGAGCTCGGCAAGAAGACGCGCCAGCCACACACCCTGGCAAGCAGCTGTTGTCGCCGCAATGTACTCCGCTTCACAGGACGATAAGGCAACAACCTTCTGCTTCTGAGATTGCCAGGTAATCAAGTTGTCACCGAGGAAGAAGAAGACACCGGTGGTGCTTTTCCGCGTGTCGACGTCGCCGGCGAGATCGCTGTCACTGAATCCAACAAGATGAACAGCTCCTTTCTTCCTTCGGTAGCTGCAGCCGTGATTGATGGTGCCGGCGACATAGCGCAGCACACGTTTCACGGCTGCCAGATGCTCGGTAGTGGGTTTCTCCATGAATCTACTCACATAACCCACTGAGAACGCCAAGTCCGGTCTCGAGTTCACCAAATAGCGCAGCGACCCAACAATTTTCCTGTAATCAGTTGCATCCACGCAAGGAGATGTGCTCAACTTACTGAGTTTGAGGCGTGGCTCCATTGGAGTCTGGCTCGGGTTGCATCCAACCATGCCTGCTGCCTCAAGTATCTTCTTGGCGTACGCACCCTGGCTCAGGGTGATGCCCTCGTCGGTCTGACTCACCTCCAGGCCAAGATAGTACCGAAGTAGCCCGAGGTCGCTCATCTGGAACGTCTCCCGCATCTCCTTCTTGAATTGATCAAGCTCGGAGTGGTTGCCGCCGGTGATGACAAGGTCGTCGACGTACACCCCGACCACCAGTCGACGTGCGTTAGCTCCGCGCATGTACACAGCGTGCTCTGAGGCACTGCGATGGAACCCAAGTGACAGCAGCGACGCGTCGAGCTTGGTGTACCATGCACGCGGGGCTTGACGAAGTCCATACAACGCCTTCACCAGGCGCAGCACCTTCTGTTCCTTGCCGTCGACGATGAAACCGGGCGGCTGCGCGACGTAGACTTCCTCCTTGAGCTCGCCGTTGAGGAACGCTGATTTCACGTCCATATGATGGACGGCCCAACCTTCGCTCGCCGCGTACGCCAGCAGCAAGCGAACCGACTCGAGCCGTGCAACTGGGGTAAACACTTCGTCGTAGTCGATTCCCTGCCGCTGCACGTATCCTTTTGCGACGAGCCGCGCTTTGTGCTTGGTGATGTTGCCGGCGGCGTCTTTCTTCGTCTTGAAGACCCACTTGAGTCCTATGGGCCGCTGGCGAGGTGGGGGATCGACGAGCAGCCAGGTTACGTTTTCTTCAATTGATTTCATCTCATCCAGCATAGCTTGACGCCAACAGTCTTGCTATTGCGCCTCGGCGAGAGACGCTGGCTCTTCAGCACTTGCGATCATGAGTTCGTCATCAAACTCACGCACAGCCAGTCCCGGCGGGGTCGCCGGTCCTAATATCTCGTCGACGCGGCGGAACCGAAGCGGAGCATCATCATGATCGGCGTCGAGGTCGTCCGCGGCGATGGTTGGTGGAGTCGCGAATTCCGCCGATGTCGCAGTTGTGCCCGCCGTGGCGGCAGGTGTGCATGGACTTGTCGATGTCGCGGGCGGAGTCGGCAGCTCTGGCTGCTCCGAGTCAGCTCGTGGCGCGTTCGCCACAGCTGGGTGGTACACAATGGTGTACTCGATGGTGAAGTCCAGCTCACTCGCCGTCTCGCCGTCCCACCTCCATTGCGCCTCTTCGTCGAATGCGACGTCACGTGAGATGTGCACGCGCCGAGAGGCAGGGTCGTAGCAGCGATACGCCTTCGACCCCGGCTCATAACCCACAAAGATCATGGGCTTACTCCTGTCGTCGAGCTTCTTGACATTCGGCGTGGTGGTCTTGACGTGTGCCAAACACCCGAACGTCCGCAGGTGGTGGACGGCCGGCGGCGATCCGTTCCACAGCTCGTATGGTGTCTTCCCACCAATACTTTTGGATGACGACCTGTTCAGGAGATAAACAGCTGTGTGACTGCCTCCCCCCAAAACATACCTGGCAGCCCTTTGGCTTTGAGCATGCTCCGCGCCGACCCGACCACCGATTGGTTGCAACGTTCCACGACGCCATTTTGTTGCGGCGAGTAGGGCGCCGTCGTCTCGCGTCGGACTCCCAGCTCGGCGCAGTAATCCGCGAAGTGGTGGACCAGGAACTCTCCCCCCCTATCCGTGCGAAGAGCACGTAGCTTCTTGCCGCTCTTGCGTTCAGCCGCGGCTTGGATGCGCTTGATGGCTGCCGCCGCCCCATCCTTGGAGGGGAGCAGTGACAACCACATGAAACGGCTGTAATCATCGACGAGAAGGAGAAAGTACCGGTTGCCGCTCGGAGTTGGTGGCGAGATCGGGCCGCAGAGGTCGCCGTGGAGTAGTTGGAGCGGCTCCAGGGAGCGCTGTTGAGCCTGCTGTGGGAACGGCGTCCGACGGTGCTTGCCGGCGAGGCAAGCCTCGCAAAGCTGGTCAACTTGCGACACAGCCGGAAGACCGCGCACTAGCTGCTCTCTGCCCATTTGCCGCAGCGCAGTGAAGTTAATGTGGCCGAACCTTGCATGCCACTTCCATGCTTCGTCGCCGATGCGTGCCGTAAGGCAGACCGGGCGCGCGAGCTCGACGTCGAGGACGTAGAGACGTCCAGGATTGCGGTGAATACGGGCAAGCAGGCGCCGCTGCTCATCCCATATCCGCATAACGCCATCCTCGGCCTCCACCTTGAAACCGGTCTCGTCTAGCTGCCCGACACTAATGATGTTAGCAGCGAGGCGTGGAATGAGGTAGGTGTTGGCGAGGGTTCGATGCTCCCCATTCTTACAGGAGAAGAGCACGGTGCCTCGCCCTTCGATTCGGACGACGGAGCCGTCTCCTAGTCGGACGTTGCCGGTGATGCCTGTGTCAATGTCGGAGAAGGCCGTCCGGCAGCCAGTCATGTGGTTGGAGGCGCCGGAGTCCACAATCCAGCGGCCTGGATCACGCTCCGCGGCGTCGTCGAGCGCCGCGAACAGCTTCTTTTCCTCCAGGTAGATGGGATCGGATGACGGAGTTGGCGCAGACGGCGCTGGTGCATGCTCCCGTTCACGTGCATGTGTGATTACTCCTCCTGTGAGGAGAAGCAAGGTGGGCTCGTCGTCTTGTGCCACGTGGGCCTGTTCATCCCGCTTGGGCTTGCTCCTGCAATCCTTGGCCCAGTGGCCGTATTTGCCACAGTTGCGGCATTTGTCTTCACGACGGGCCGCTCCGGAGTTCGTATTCTCCGCGCCGCCGACTCCAGCGCCGCCGCCGTTGCGGCCTTTGCCGCCACGCCGCTTGCCACGGTTGCTTGGGCTGCCTGAGTTCTTCTTTGCCTCCTGCTCCTTTTTCTTGTGGCGCTCTAGCCATTCTTCCTCGGTGAGGTAGAGCTTGCCGGCGTTGTCTGAGGACGAAGATGGCAATGGCATGGCGTCCTCAGCTGCCTTGAGTCTGCTGGTCACCTCCTCCAGGGACAGTGTAGAGATATCAAGGAGAGTTTCAATGGAAAGGACGAGTTGGGTGAACCTGGGACGGGCGACGCGCAGGTACTTCTCGACGACCTTGTCTGCCGGCTCGGGATCGCCGAGCGTCGCGAGTTGATTGACGGTGGAGGTCAGGCGCATGGCGAAGTCCTCCACGGTCTCACCGTCGCGAAGGACGAGCGACTCGTACTCCATGCGCACCTTCTGTGCGCTTGCTTTGCGAATTCGGTCGTCGCCGACTCGCAGGATCCTGATGCAATCCCATGCCTCCTTGGCCGAGGCCTTGGTGGCCAAGGTCGAGATCATCTCGGGGGGCACCGCGCTGCAAATGGCGTCAAGCGCCATCCTATCCTCATGAAGCTCGACGCCGCCTGGATCGATGGCGCCCCATAGGCACCGGGCTTGCAGTTTGATCTTCATCAACAAAGACCAATCGTTGTAGTTGGTTCTTGTCAACAGCGGGTAGTTCGCTGCACCTCCTGCTTCCTTGACCACGCGGTGGATCACCAGCCCGCGGTCGCTCCCGCCGCTGCCTGAGGCGCGGCCGCCGGAACCTGAAACATGCACGGACGGTGACGCCGACCGCCGGCGCGGGGAGTGCGTGCGTCCTCGAGGCATGAAGACACCCTCAAGAGCGCGATCTCGCGTCCACACTCTGAACCGAGCTCTGATACCACTTGTCAGGTTTCCCTAAGTGATCGACAAACAAGCTGTGGAAAACACACGCGAACACGAGGAAACACGCTGAGTTTTGTGGTGCGATGAAGCTGCACCTTTTCGGTTTTTTTCTTCTCCTTTTATTATGCAAATAACAGACTTAGGATTCGATCCCACGTCCCGGTTCTTTCGCGTCCATCCCCGCGATCCGAGAGACGCGTTCACGTCCCGTTGTCCAGGCCAGTCGCGAGTTAATCTCGTTGACAGCCACTACGTGCACGGCATCCACAACCCGGAGCTCGCGCATGCAACAACAGAAAAACTAACATGCATGCAGCAACAGAAAGGAACGTAAAACTAGCTACTACTAGATACATCGTGTAAGGTTTATTTCCAACAATCCCGCCGGGCGTCGAGAGCGCCGAGGGGCTCGCGTCCATGGCGGCGTTCGTCACCTTCACCGACGCCGTGTCGCTGCTGCGGCCGCAGTTCGAGGCGGCCGTCGCCGCCATGTGGCCTCTGGCGAGCTTCATCGTCGCCGACGCGTTCCTGTACTGGGTCAACGAGTCGGCGGCCGTGCTCGGCGTCCCCAAGATGTCCTTCTTCGGCATCTCGGCGTTCGCGCAGGTGATGCGTGAGCTGAGAAACCGCCATGGCCTGTGCGCCGTTATGGAGCCCGGCGACGTCGACGACGACGGATACCCAGCGACGCTCGCGGTGCCGGAGTTCCCGCACATCAGGGTCACGCTTGAGGATCTCATGGCGACGTTCGGCGAGCCGTCGGCTGTGAGGATGATGATGGAGCTCGACGGCAAGCTGGGGAAGGCCATCGAGGAGAGCCATGGCCTGATCATCAACACGTTCCATGGCTTAGAGGCTCCCTATATCAAGTTCTGGAATGAGCATGTCGGGCCTAGGGCCTGGCCCATCGGCCCGCTTTGCCTTGCGCAATCGGCATCTGCGACCGCCGATGCCCGGCCCTCTTGGATGGAGTGGCTTGACGAGAAGGCGGCTGCCGGCCGGCCCGTGCTGTACATTGCGCTTGGGACTCTCGCGGCAATCCCGGAGGTGCAACTCAAGGAAGTTGCCGATGGGTTGGAGCGGGCTGATGTGAACTTCATATGGGCTGTTAGGCCCAAAAACATTGACCTTGGGCTAGGGTTCGAGGAGCGTATCAAGGATAGAGGCCTAGTTGTAAGGGAGTGGGTGGATCAACTGGAAATTTTACAGCATGAGAGCGTACGAGGGTTTCTCAGTCATTCTGGATGGAACTCTGTGCTAGAGAGTGTCACAACTGGTGTACCACTAGCTGTTTGGCCTATGATCGCCGATCAACCCTTCAACGCGAGATTCTTAGTCGACGAGCTGAACATTGCGATTAGGGTTTCACCGATTGATAGGACCATGCGGGGTTTAGTTCCAAGTGAGGAGATCTCAAAGGTGGTGAAGGAGCTCATGGATGGTGAGGCAGGGGCGGAGGCAACGAAGAGAGTTGTGGAGCTGTCGGCATTGGCTAAGGAAGCTATGGATGAAGGGGGACTATCATGGATAGCAGTGAAGGAGATGATAACTGAGTTGTGTGCAATGAAGAATGATGTGCATGAGAAGGAAGAGGCAAATTATTGCAAGCAAGATATTTAGCACATTTGTTCTTGATGGTGTGTGTAACTAAGAGTGTGTTGGAGTAGCCACAGGGGTGGGGTCCTCTGGAAACTGGAGCTGAAGGCAGAATCAGTTAAATTTGTGAACTTTTCGTTTGATCAGGACTGTTTAATTAATGCATTTTACCAATACTCTTGTAGTGAATATATTTTCCACAAAACTTGACGGTTTTCATGCTATATTTGGCGGTTTTTGACCGCCAAAAAAATTGTGGATTCTTGTAGTGAATATATTTTCCACAAGTTTAATTCTTTAGAACGTGAAAGTATTCTTTAGTTATGCTTCTGCGAATTTATAATTCATACATCAGTTTCTTTTAGAGCAATATATATCAAGTTAAGGCTACAGAGATTCTTATAATTGAACCCATAACCTAACTTCTATTTCACTCTTTTCTTCTAGACAAATATCTCACTCGTAAGCTTAATGATGTCAACACGGGGAGAATTTGCTTAATATCGTGTCCTTTTCCTACAACAATAAAATTGATAGTTGACCTGCCAACACCCCATACCCCACCGCCCACCCTACAAGCAATGAGGTACATGCAGCAGAAATGAAAAAGAAATCATATTGACTCAATGGTTCTCCAAACTATCATATAACAACTACACACATCAAGAATCTCAATGGAAAAAATAATTCTATATTGGTCGACAACTAATCTAAAGTAGTGAAAAGATTAATCTTATACAACACTAGATTGCGCCACGTCATCAGCTCAATATGCAACACAACTTTAATCCATATCGTACAATCCAGTGTGTGAAAGAGGTTAAGTAAAAGAGTCAAAATGGTTCAAGAGTATTCTGGTATGTCACATACTGGGTATTCTGGGTATCATACTGTCAGAAAAAAGTGAACGGTAGAGAAGAATAAAACCGCCATATCAATGTCCGATTCCTCGCACGCGACATGCTGCTGACTCCTCTCTCCTCGACCATCGCCTCCCCCTCCCACTTCCACATCATCACTGGTTCCCTTCTTATCATAATAATTTTAATTATAACATGTATATATGCAGGGTTTTTTATACGGGCATCTAAAGTCGTGCAACACACGACCAAGTGGATAGTGACTAATGAGGTACTATTTTACCTATCACAATACAATTGAAGGTGTCCTCTCTGTCGATCATGTTGTTGGTGCATACTTATCGCTGTTTCCAAAAACAATATTCAGCATACAATATTAAACACGGTGACACATCCTTCTTTCACCCAAAAAAAACCCAACCTAGAAGTTCGATGGGATATAATTTAGTACAGATTCATTGTACTAGATTATATCTCATCGAAGTTCTAGATTGGGTTTTTTTGGGACGGAGGGAGTACGTTGCATCATGCACGCAAATCGACCATTGACCTTTGGTACCAGCCAGTCATTTTCTGCTTGCATCATTTCTAACGCAAAACGTACTAGACTGAAACGTTTAAACAAACCTATTGACCAAACCGAACTAGATGTACGTACCAATCGCTACTCTCTACTATTAAAAAATTGATAGTGTCTCTACCAGTTTTTTTCATCTGTCGGCCCCTTCACTCAGTTCCCATATCGCTCACTTCCGATCCTATTCAAATCATATCATGAATCGATCTGATGTATTTTCTTAAAACACAGTACAAATACAAGTGCTTATAAAGCGTGCACACTTACCCGAGGCCTATATATGAACAAATACATGCATACTCTACCCCTATTATACCCCTATGAACACATTCGAAAAACTAAGCCGACATATCTTGAGATCCATGACGTCATCATGGATACCTCGCACGGATATATCGCATATAACTAAAATAATATTAGCCATAGATACGAGCACATGTAACGCTCAATCTATTATATTATTAAAGGAATAGAAAAAGGAGCCTCCACGTTCGCTCTCATGGCCTAGAAATTCTCACATTAATCAGAAAAAAGAAAAAGCAAAGTCCATATAGAAATATAATTTAGAAATAGCTGAAATTCGGAATTAAAAAATAAGGAATATTAGAAGATAAGACTAGAGTCCATATAGAAATACAATTTAGAAATAGTTGAAATTTGGAATTAAAAAATAAGGAATATTAGAAGAGGAGACTAGAGTCCATATAGAAATACAATTAGGAAATAACTAAAATTCGGAATTAAAAATAAGGAATATTAGAAGAGGAGACTAGAGTCCATATAGAAATACAATCAGGAATACAATTAGGAGATAACTGAAATTCGGAATTGAAAATAAGGAATATTAGAAGTAGAGGATAGAGTCCATATAGAAATACAATTAGGAAATAACTGAAATTCAGAATTAAAAATAAGAAATATTAGAAGTAGAGTATAGAGTCTATATAGAAATACAATTAAGAAAAAAAATAGAAATTCGGAATTAAAAATAAGGAATATTAGAAGTAGAGTATAGAGTCCATATAGGAATTTAAAACTAACTAAAATTTGGAATAAACATAATAAAATTAAAAGTAGAGTTTAGAGTCCGTATAAAAATATAATTTACAAATAACTAAAATTTAAAATTAAGAAAAATATGGGAAGAAGAGTTTAAGGTCAATATAGGAATACAATTTAGAAGTACTGAAATTCGAAAAATTAAAAATTAAAAGAATATTCAAAGATGAGTTTAGAGTCCACATAGAAATAAAATTAGAAATAATAAAAATTAAGAAATAAAAATAAATAATATTGGAAGAAAAGCATAGAGTCTATATAGAAATACAATTTACAGAAAATTCGGAATTAAAAAAAGAAATATTAAAAGACGAGTCTAGAGTCCATATAGGAATATATATAATTTAGAAATAACTAAAATTTGATATTAAAAATAATCAATAACTAACACGTAAATAAAATATAATATGAAATATAAGAAATAAAAATAAATAATATTGGAAGAAGACCATAGAGTCTACATAGAAATACAATTTACAGAAAATTTGGAATTAAAAAAAAGAAATATTAAAAGACGAGTTTAGAGTCCATATAGGAATATATATAATTTACAAATAACTAAAATTAAATTTTAAAAATAATTAACAACTAACACATATATAAAATATAATATGAAAATTAAGAAATAAAAATAAATAATATTGGACGAAGAGCATAGAGTCTATATAGAAATACAATTTACAGAAAATTCGGAACTAAAAAAAGAAATATTAAAAGACGAGTCTAGAGTCCATATAGGAATATATATAATTTACAAATAAATAAATTTTAATATTAAATATAATTAATAACTAACATGTATATAACATATAATATGAAAATTAAGAAATAAAAATAAATAATATTGGAAGAAGAGCATAGAGTCTATATAGAAATACAATTTACAGAAAATTCGGAACTAAAAAAAGAAATATTAAAATGCGAGTCTAGAGTCCATATAGGAATATATATAATTTACAAATAACTAAAATTTAATATTAAAAATAATTAATAACTAACACGTATATAAAATATAATATGAGTTTTATAGAGTTATTGCAAAATTTAAAATTATATTATCATTTTAATATATTTTAATAATATAATGAGAAAGCATATATGCTATTATATGAGAGCAAATATAATGATGCTAGCCGTGCAATCTGTACGGACCACAATGCTAGTTAAATGCATTGTATCATGAGGACAAAGCCAGTGGGCAGTCCAACCCACCCAAGAGATCTAGGAACGCCTCATGCTCTCAAAGCCCACTCCACAGGCCACTGCACAACTGCTGAAGTTGGAATATGTTCATCTGAGGTCCCTTAACTTGTCTACCAATTCGATTTTCGTCCTTCAACCGAAAAACAAGATACAACGGGTCTCTCAACTATGAAAACCGGTGCAAAATAAGTCCCTTTGTGGTTTGGACAGCGGTTTTAACTGACGTGGCGCCTACGTGGCTAATTTGACTCGATCTTCATCTGACGTGGAATTGACGTGGCGATGACGTGCCAATTCGATCCGGAAAAATATTAAACCCTGTGGGACCTACATGTCAGTATCACACATAAATTAATTAAAAATGGTGGGGTCCACGTGGGCCCCACATGTCATTCTCACCGCCACCTCTTCTTCCTCCTCCATCCCCATCTCTCCTCTCCGGTCACAGCGGCGCCGGGGACAACGACCTCAAGAAGGCGGACGAGGCCGGTATTGACGCCCTTCCCACGTCCTCCGCCACTCACCTCGGCGGTGTGCTCGGCCAGTGGAGAGAGGAAGCGCAGTGGAGATGGCCCAGGCGGCAAGAGTGGAGATCGGAGGGAGAGTGGAGATCGGAGGGAGTTGGGGGCGCCCCCGGCAGATTGCCGCCGCTCCGCCCCACCAGTTTCGCGCGCCGCCACCGCCCCACTCTGTCCCGCCGCTCTGCCCACCCCGCCCCGCCGGCTTCGTGCCGCTGCGCGCCGGATGACGACGACGACGAGGCTGGCGCCCTCCACTTGGCTTCGCAGCCCTGCCGGCTTCGTGCGCCGCCACTCTGCCCGCGCGTCCGCCCGCCGCTGCCCATGTCCGCCCCGATGCTCTACCTGCTCAGCCCCGCCGGATTCGCGCCGCTGCGCGCAGGAAGACGATGACGACAAGGCATGAAGAAGCAGGAGCAGACTACAAAACAATGGCATTAACCATGTTAGGATTCCACATTCAGAGAGTGAGCTGGAGCACATCATTGATTTTTGTGCAGAGATCGATGGATCGATTGATTCTGTCACCGACGACTCTAACAATTCTGTCCGGGCTAATCAACTCAACTGAAGTGCTTGCAATTTACATCGGCCGGCAGCCTGCTGCCGCTGCCGTCGCCGGCGGATGGCTGGATGGTGGTGGCCACGCTGTTCGCTGCCATGACGTTCCAAGCGGCGCTACAGCAGCGGGGTGGATGCCGAGGCCCAGGGACTGGTTCGCGGTGCTGCCACCTGTAGATAGAATATAGATACCCCATACCTATATGGCTTGTATAATCCGACTGGGTATGGGGTGCCATGTGTAGATAGAATATTTTTAAAGGGACTCGGGTTAAATTCCAAACTTGTACGTCAAGAAAATACCCGGGATCCTAGTCGGTTACAACTGTATCTTATTTGTAACTACTTATTCCGTTAGGGATATGGGGACTGCACTTTGTAATGCGGACCCCTTCCCCTATATAAGGAGGG